TTTGCAGTGCCTATCTTTTTTTATGTATGATACATTGACTTTGCTTGGAAGGAGAAAACTCTTACATATTGGGGTTGAGAGAGCATATGTAAATCTTACGATTAATAATGCATAGATAATAATGTACGGAGTGGTTGCTGCATGTACAGTCGTTGTTCTGCTGAATGTGCCAGAAATAGCATGGTTAATCTGATATAAAGTTTTAAATTGCCATGTTGTAGCACATAACTTAAAAAGGAAGATTGTATGATGAATAAGCATCAGGTTTGGGTAAACAAAGTAGCTGCTTTGTGTATGTATGTTTTATTTGCTCAGGGTGAGACTCGGGGTGTGTTTTCTGTGTAAACCTGATTTTACTGCTTCTAAACACGCGTGAATGAGCAAGGAAAGCAGACGATGATCTGACTACAGCACCAGGCTAAACCCAACATTAAAGACAAAGAGTCTAGCTTTAGGCAGGTATTAAGGCATCTTGTCAGTTAATGAGTGACTACCACACATATTTATGATCTAGCTGTAAGACTGCCATTTTCTGACTAACCACGAGGTAATTTACTGTCAATGGTAAGTTAAAGCCATTGAATGAAAAGCTAAATGACATTATGTAAATGTAGCCCTTTAATAACTCTTAATGAGTCGCTTGACCTTTGTTAATGAATATGGCTCATTGCATAAAGGTGATAAAATGCAGAAAGTAACATTTAAACCCAAGGTTACAGGAATCGATTCAATGTTTCACAAAGAAGGAATTTGCATACATTGGTCCAACAATTTCCGAAAGAATTTAGTCTCAGATCCTGTATTGCTGGAGTTGCGCACTATTATAAAAGAATGACCTTGAAATGATCACCTCTTTCATAAGGCACTGAAAAGGAATTCATGGGTGGAGTTGTGCCAACCAGGAAAAAAATGTGCCACTGAATGGAGAGCATCCCTAATTTTAAGAATCTATCTACTCTTAGCAGAGACCATAACAATCTCTTCTCAGTACTAGGATAAATGGTAAGTTTCATCATTCTCTGTATGGCTGAGAATATATCCTCAGGTATCAATTTAGCTCCATTGGGAGTACAGGTATATAATAACATATGGTCCAAATGGAAAAAGTCTATTTACTAACCTGCAATGAGTATCAGAATGATATGTGGTGTGTAAATAATCTCCATAAACATGAGCTTATTTTGACGTTTATAATGGAATCAATTGTCATGCTTCCCCTGATTATTATGAGTTTTAACATTTTGTTTTTGTGTAATTTTAGCCTGAGCAAAATATGCAGGGTGCCCCCATAGTCCTCTTACCGCCCTGTTATAAAACAGCGATATGAGACAACGGAGGAGTTGAAACAAGCTGTCAGAGAAGCCTTTCACCTTGTAATTCCATCATGTTATGGAAGATCATGATGCCCATCATGATGCTGGATCATTAATTGCCATGCAAATGACATCTAAATCCAGTTAAACCCTTGTACTGAGTCCAATGAAGTGCTTCTAAATACAATTACATTGACGAATGTGAATCATTCGTTCACATGTTCCAGTTGTTGGTCAATGCACTGTAGAGAAAATGCAGGTCTTTGTGGACATCCTGTTGTTTCGGTTGCACATGGATCCACTTAAGGATAATGTTGTTATGCAACCAGTTGGAAATTGCCTTGGACCCATTGAATGTCATAAAGCTTCAGGGCAACTTAAAGTGGGCTTGTACATGTTCCAATTTCACTGCGCTGTGACAATGTTGACTGTCACAGAATCTATCTCTGGAATTTCCATGTGTCGGTGGGACGCATGAAATTCTCAATTTGGTGCTCTTAAGCAACAGTTTCCACATGTGTCAGATACGCAGCTGACCAAAAAAAAGTGTTGACTGTCCACTGATCATCAGTACATTGATTATCAGTGTACAGAATTGAGGAGGTGGGACAGGTATATAACTTGTGGAACTCTCACATTTTCAGAATGTTATTACATTCTGGTAACATTCAGGCATATTTAACCATTTTGCAGAAAGGTTTTCTTCACCACAGGAAATCCTTCTCCCAATGTGGTCCATTGGGAACAGTATTGATACTGGAATCAGTGTCAACTTACAAACCTAGGAAATCTATTTCCCTGTGCAAGAAAAAGTGTTTTGAACATTTTCTGGCAGAAAATTGACCCCTGTTGTTTCTTTTTAAAATTCCACTCAATAAGTGTATACCATTGAAAAAATAATATGTTTTACTTGCTTCCATCATCGGGGGAGAGACTGGTAAGTAGGACGGAACTTTAAGGAATCGTTGTCATTGCCTACAAGGTGTATCTGGACTATATCAACAAAACATAATGGACACTTGAGCCCAGATGAATTCAAATCAAAGGCTAAAACTCCATCATATTGCTATGATTTGAAACCGAGTTTTCCAGAGAAACCCTGTTACAGGGAATGTGAATTTTATTTCTCTTTCAATGGGCATCTGATTACTTGTTGCTGTTGAATCACTGTCAAATGCAGACGTGTAATCGAGCGAAAAACACCAGAAAGAAAAAGCTTGCATTTCAATAACTCTTCAGGCCAAAAGTACACGGTTTGCTCATGACACATTTTAAACCCGCAGAAATGCGCCCATTGTGCTTCAAAAAATCTATTAAAATCTAATCTTTACAACTTTAAAGGTCTCAGCTGCGAAATAACCAAGTGCTGTATCAGTGTGATACATAAGAGGGTTTATTGAAAAAATAATGGCACCCGTATGTACAATCCAAAAGTAACTTAAGATCTATGAGTTTCATTCTTTAAATGAAAAGAACTCAATGTCATAGTAACATTATTTCCACTACAGTGTGTGTGTCTGCATCATTTTCTCCCTACGATTGCATCAAACAAAACAGAAGTTTACTCTCTTTACAAGTGTGAAGGAGCAAGTGGGAATCTACACTTCCCCTCATACCCTACCAAGCCTAGAATATAAAGAACACCAATAGGATCAATTTTGTTTGTATCTAATGGAAAGGGAAACAGATCTCCACAGCTGTAGTAAGTAACTCTCTGACACTAAAGTGTCTGTGCTAGCAGTTTGGAAGCACATCCTGTGCATAATTCAACATCTGTAAAAACTGCATCTGTAACAAGTACAATTGTAACTTGCTGAGCTTCTTGCTGTAAGTTGCCAAAGCTAGAGTGTTGAGTGTGCTGAACTCGTAATAAGAGTAACTTTTAATCACAATTCCTTCATTGAAAATGGCAGACACTGAGGATTGTATATCGGCCAGTTGTATAACTTGTGGTGTGCTGTGAGTATAACAAAGGAATAGAAGGTACACAGTAGCCTCGTGAATTATTGAAGAATTTGAAGAGTGCAGTGCTAAATCTGTATGCTCACATTATTTATGTTTTCATTACGTAGGTGCGGTTTTTCTTTAGGGTTACTCACAGAGATCAAGTAATGCAGGATTTATTCACGTTTACTGTATTTTTAGCACTGCGTCCTCCAACACTGCTTCAGTCCTGAAGTTTCCGAAATATCTTTTAACTCATTCAAATCTTTAAAACTTGTTGAGACGTAAAATAAGCTTAACTTTGCAACACCACATAATGGATTGTCTTAAGTCAATGGGAGTGGAGAGCTCTCTACCATTCTTCGATCAAATGCCACGTGCCCTTTTTGTTCACAAATTCATGCCCCTCATGGCTATTTGTGTGACTTTGATGCAAACAGAATAGCTGTCCTGCTTTTCGCCATGCTCAATAGCATTTGCTGAAACGTTCTTTGAGAGAATTTTTGTTGTGATAAGGTACTGCAAAAAATATGCAAGTTATTCCTATCATTTTGCTTCCCAGATAACGCAATGTATTTTAGTAGGAGGCATTCAAGCACCTATTACAGATTTGACACTGTGACCCGAGGTGTTTCACTGCTCACAAAATGCTCCAGTTCCACCCAATCAATTCCCACTCCTCACAAAAGCAACTTCCCAGTCATCCACTTCAACTCCAGCTCATTTGCACTTAATTAAGGAGAGTCACTGAGTGCACCAATTTCCAAATGTTGACCTCCCACTGTTTGTAATGTTGATTTCTTTTTGTGCCAGGACTGTGAAGTCTGTTGGGCTCTGCTACCCAATTAAAATTGATAGGCGAACATTGTATTACTTATTGAAATGCCACTTTGAATACTGAGCTATACTGAGATGTCAGAACACAACATTTTGGTTCAGGTCCATTTTTGTGCCTTGCATGATGTCATGTTACAATGATGCTGGACGAGCCCAGGTTTATTTGAATTGAATTGTATTCGTCAGCGAGCAGAATCTGGAACAATTAAAACCAGGATTGCAACATTTCAGCTGTAGGACACGATCTAAAGAATCCAATCTGATGCATGCATGGTTGTGTATTGGTTGGTGCTTTATAAAATAAAAGCATCAGTGCATGAGCTTGCAATCATTCTGGCCTCGCTCTGGAACTCCAACTGACTCAACTCTCTCTCCCCACTTTCAGACGTACCTCCCCGCCCCCCACTTTCCCGACCCTTTTTAGCTCCCAGCCACCCTACCCCTTAGCCTCCCCGAGATTCAGTACCCAGTCAGCAACTTTGAGATGTCCCAATGTGAAAGGCACAATATAAATGTAAATCGTTTGTCTTGTTTTTCATAAAAATGATAATTCTCGTGGTTGGTATGGCACCTATCACATCAAAACATCTGACAGCACTTCACAGCACTTTGACGAGACCAGTGATTCATTGTTTTAATTTACAATTTATCGCAATTTGTAATCGGCTTATTGATTGTTGGTTAATTAACAAACCCCACGATAAATGAACTTTTATACATGATGAATCTGTTGTCAATCAAGAAAATGAGAATCTGCCCACAACACGAGTGGCAGCAGATGAATGGGTTGCATAATTAGTGACCTGTTTTGAATGTCGGTGTGAAGACATTGCCATGCATTCTAAGCCCACAAAGGGGGACACAATTGCTTAAATCCAATGCCTTGATGTTTTATTTTCTTCCCAGATATTGACGAATGTGTCACTGGAATGCACAGCTGCTGGAACGACTCTGTCTGTGTGAACCTGGAAGGCGGGTTTGACTGCCGGTGCCCTTACGGGGAGCATTGCACAGGGGACTGTCCCCTTGACGGAGGACTGAAACACAATGGACAGGTCTGGACTCTGACAGATGACCGTTGCTCTGTCTGCTCATGTCAGGTAAGTGCTTGCATTTCGCGCGGCGGTGTTGTAATCCCAACAATGAGCAGTTTCATTTTGATCGAAATGTGAGCCCACCAAATTCTGCCATGCACGATTGGCAGCACTTTGGGGCATCCTCCCAATGTGAAAGGCGTTCTGTAAATGTAATTTTGTTGTTGTTGCCGCGTTTCGCCCGCAAAATATACAGACAGTTCACTTTACAATATATTCTGTGAAGCGCTTTGAGACGTCTCAAAGCCGTGATAAGGCATTATATCAAATGCAAGGATTATTTATTATTAATATTGTTTAGACAATGGCAACGCCAATGTGGCACAATTAGAATGCCTCACCAACGAAGACTCAAGTCTGGACTGAGCTTTGGTCATGCACATTTAGAAAAACAAGTTCGCAATGTTTCTCAAATTACACCTCGTCTCAGCCTAAATAAAAGCTTTTAAGATTGCTCAGAGTTGGAGAACATCTCTTCTTTCGGTCGAAGGCGGTTTCCCACAGTTCACCAAAGGATCTAGCTTACAAATGAAGATGGAATATGAGAATTGGACGGCTCATCCTCTGAATGAAAGCTTCTTGCCTTTTTCTAACAGGATGGGAAGATTTTCTGCAGAAGGACAGTATGTGACTGTCGCAACACCAATGTGGATCTCTTCTGCTGTCCAGAGTGCGACACCAGAGAGACCAGCCAATGCCTGCACCAGAATGGGCACTTGGTGTACCGCAGCGGTGACCTCTGGACCTACAGCTGCCAGCAGTGCCGATGCCTGGTAAGTCGGTGCATTCCTGATACAAACCACAAGTCGATAGTTAGGAACACTTACCATGCCATGGCATGACAGATTTAAAGGAGTAGAAGCCTTTGGGTTAGCTCAGAGAAGGATAATATAATACAATACAAAATTACATTTGTACAGTGCCTTTGACATCGGGAGGACATCCCAAGGCGCTGGACAGTCAGGGATTTGGACCCGAGCAGGGGATGGGGGGCAGAGAGGGTGGGAGGGTGGCTGAAGGCACACTTCTTAATACAATTTTTAAGTTTGATCCATTAAACCGAGTTGCCAATCTGGTGAACGTTTCATATGTACCGGGTTTCTCTCCACAGAGAGGATATGAATAAGCATTGTAACAGCCATATCCTGTATTTATCTGCACTCACTCAAACCTCTCTATCTAATTGTTAGTATTACTGAAATGAGTTTTATGTTAGACATATTTATGTAGAGTATCTAGGTTGGGTTTGAGTCTAATTGAGGAAGAAAAGTTCTAACGTGTAGTATATAAAAAAATCAATAAATTTTATTAGTTGTGATTAGCAGACATCTTATTGTTTAAGGAGGAATGAGAGCAGTGGTTCATCTGATTGTGTGCAAATGATTTCAACCCATTCATCATTGTGGAGTCCAAGCTTCGCAAACAAGGGAAAAGACCGAACACTTTTAACCCCCTTAAAAACTGCTGGTGATACACTATCTCATTATACACTTGAAATGTCACGCCCAATAGAACTAATTTGAAGGTCAAGCAGCAAAATTAGTTGGTCGAGATCCGAATACGTTTACCCTAAAAATTATCGTGACAATATTTTTACCCTATTTTGGTTATCAGTCTTGATGGTTGAAGCTAAAACAAATGCTATTGCTGTTGTTTTTTTTCATCCATCTTCTGGAAGTGTTGTTACAACTGCAAAGTCCAGTGGTCACACATAGCTACTCTACAAAGACTGGCAGCGCTGTAACCGACTTGAATGATGCGTACTGGTGGGAAACTGTATCATCAACTTTGCATTTCTCATTCGGATGATTTTAACTGGTTCTTTGCTTGGTTTGCTGGATGCTGTACCCTGCAAAATCCCTGTTCCCTGCAAAATTTTAATGTTCTAGTTTGTGGAGGGTGTGGGTGGGCAGCATACGAAAGCACATGAGCTGCTCTTTCCTTTGTTTGCCTTCTTCACGTTGTGGCAGCCTCCTGTTCACTGCCAGCAACACTCTCAAGAGCTGAGAGAGTAATCCTTTTGGTCCTGCCTTAAATTCTGTTGATCAGATTGCAAATAAGCTCTTTTACCCGTAATCCTACCCCTTTATCCTGAACATATATTTGCAATGGACGTCTCTTGGAAGAGATGTGCTTTATAGATCTGTATCGGCTTTCAGATTTGAACTGGCTTCGGGTATTCAAAATTGCACCATGTCTTAGTGCACTCACTGTCTGTGTGTTAATGGTGTAGCAGGGAGAAGTGGATTGCTGGCCTTTAACCTGTCCGACTCTCAGCTGTGAGTACACAACCATTCCAGAGGGAGAATGCTGCCCACAATGCGTCAGTGATCCCTGCTTAGCTGACAACATGGTCTATGATATCCGTCAGACTTGTATAGACAACCATGGAATAACACGGCTCAGTGGGTCTATATGGACTATGCCTGGATCCCCCTGCACTACTTGTAAATGCAAGGTACTGTATGACATGAGCAATCTTATTGTCTGAATAGCAGGATGTCTGAAGAAAGCACTCTCTTTCACGTTGTCACTTTTTTAAAAAAAACTCATCTAACCGTTTAGAAGAATAAGATGGATAAAATCTTATTAGAATGCTTGCATCATCTAGCATTTGCTGCTGTTTTACCATGTCCCCTTAAGAATGTAATCATTTTCTTATGTACACTTGAAATATAACTAAATAACATTACAAATTTAGCAGCCAGTGGTTGTCCACAGGGTGTTAAAATAACTACAACTAATGCTTTGTATATTTTTACAGAACTTAGCTTTTGTTTTCCATTTTTTTATGAATGGCAAAAAAGGTATCGAATAAAGGAAAGTCACTTTAGTTTTTCGTCTTCATTTTAAGACAAATGTTTAATAATAATAATCCTTGCATTTAATAAAGCATCTTATCACGTCTTCAAGACGTCTCAAACAGCTTCACAGAATATACCCTAAAGTTAATTGACTGTGTATTTTATGGGCAAAATGTAGCAGCCCATTGTGCACAGCAGTGTCCCACAAACAGTCATGGATTCAGTGACCAAATTATTATTATTTTTGTAGTTTTACATTTACCCCAGCAAGATCTTCTCAAACGTTTGCTGCAAAAACGCAGGCACAGATGCAATTGATCAATTGATATGTCGTCATTCTCAGTCATTGCATAACAATGATATTTGGGAGGTTGTCCGTGCAGTTTGGAATTAGAATAAGCTCCAGAATAAGCATTAGACTAAATTCTCCAATGGATCCTGCCATCTGACGTAATTACGCATATGTTTCCATTTGTTTACAGCTTGAGGCACGTGTCTTTTTGAGCCAATGCATGGTCTCTTCAGTCTTTCAGATCTTTTATGAGCCCACAGCATTCCATAGCCCACATTAACCAATGCGTGACAGTGAAAAATCAGCTTTTACGTGATTCTTCAATGTACTTTAATACCTCTTGATTCAAATCAGCTTTCCCTGTATTTGGAGTGTAGCCGCAAGCATTCATTCTGTCAGAGAATTAAAAGTTTGATTTTGATGATTGGCTATGTCTTCTTAATTGGATGGAAATCTTTTAATGAAATGCTTAATATTAGTTGGTAATGTTTGGTGACTGTTTGATGATTCTGGGTAATCATTCATCTACACCACATGAAGGGTGCTACATAAATACGAGTTGTGATTGTCGTTGTGATTTATTCCTTCAAAACCTAACATGCTCTCAAAGTGTATTGTGATCAAGCCAAGCGAGTACAGCAATCAGGAAATGATGTCTCTGGTAACCTGGAAGTCATCCTTTTATTTAGCATGGGCAATTTCCTGCACAGAACGCACATGTAAAGCACAGGAAGTGATGCGAATGTGATCTGATGACCTGGAAGTTGGCCATTTATGTCGCGCAGTCAAACCAGAGTTATAAAGGATACCTTATGATGAGGTTATGTAGCTCCAAGACACTATCCTGTGTGAAGGGCATTATATCAATGCAAGTTGATATTTTTCTATATTTGCCTTCAAGATATGAGAAGGAAAAGAGGATGATTTGGGGGATCCAGTGGGGGACGAATAACTTTTTTTAAAATCTGAATTGGAAAAGTATTGTGAAATATCAAGAGGGTTATTCATTCTGTTTTCTGTTCTCTGCAGAATGGAAATATCTGCTGTTTGGTGGATGTGGATTGCCTCCACAATAACTGAAGATCTCTATGGACTGCTTTACCTCTTGTGTGGACTGTGTAGGTAATGTCTAAAATGTACTTCGAAAGGGTCCTTGCATTATACAGTACAACTTAAAGCTGCCAAATGGAGCAAGATTTCTGGGAGTCTTGTCTTTCGATGAACTATCCTGCACTTTTGTGGCTATTCAGTTCAAAATGTTTCACTTTCAGCTCAAAGTTGGGAGCTTCCATCACCATGCCATTGGAAGATCACACTTCTATATTTTTACAGCATTTTGATAACTGTAAATGGGAAACTGGATTGTTTGCCCAAAACTTGCAGTTGAATATCTGTCAAAACGTGTTTTCTTGTCTTTATGTAAATCAGTGATGTCCAATATTACGTATTAACGCTTTAAGTACTGGAGCTTCAAAATTCATATGTTTCCATCATTTAACATCAAAATAAATCTTTGCTGAATTTCAATGCTGAACACCATGAACAAAAGCTAGGGTAATGTAAGGAACTACAGGATATTATTTTAAATTGTGTTCTGTGTTGTCCAAAATTATGTTTCTTTTAAAACAAAATGGGTGGTAAAATGCAACGTTCCCCACAAAGGTTGTGAACTATTTCAAGCGTCGGGGTAAGAAAACAAAATCTAGTGAAGAAATGCAATTTGGTAGTTGCCATTTGCTTTGTTTCGATAATTTTGTACCATATTTTCTACACAATCTGACCTTCCAAATTTGACTTCAATATAATGCAGAAGAATTCTTCTCTGAACTCACTTCACACTTGGACAAGTAATGGAGACTGGATGGTATATTAATAATAATTATCCTTGTTAGTTAGGAGTGGAGTCCTGTAGCTCAGTGGTTAGAGCACTCGCTTTGCAAGTGAGACACCGGAGTTCAATTCCAGGCAGAGGGCGAAACCTTGGGCAAGTTTCCTTGCTCCACACGCCTAATAATAATCCCTCCATAAAACCAAAAACAATAATAAATTGGTCATTTTCAATCTACGACTGTTTGTGGGACATTGCTGTGCGCAATTGGCTGCCGCGTTCGCCCACAAAAATATACAGTCAATTCACTTTACAGTGTGTTCTGTGAAGTGCTTTGGGATGTCCTCCCGACGTGAAAAGCGCTATATCAAATGCAAAGATTATTATTATTATTAGATTGGCCTTTCATGTTCAAATTACCCCCAGCAGATGGGATAGAGACAGACATAGCCTTTCTTACTGTTGGCTGTAGAGGTCCTTAGTTGAGTCAGTTTAAAACGAGTTTCTAATGGATGTGAGTCAATATCACAAACTGACCATCTCACTCAGAGAGTACATTAGGATCGTTGGTGTATGAAACCCAGAGCGTGAAGAAGCTGCCCTTTCTCAACATTTGCAAAAGCCAGAGAGTGTGTCTGCCATCATTGTGAATTTTCTCCTCCTTATACTCTGGGGGTTCAGCAGATGTCAAATAAATATGTCTCTTGTGCAGCTGGCCTAATAGCCGATGATGGAGCAAAATACATTTTGACGCTCAGCAAATAAAGAGTTTATTACAATCTGAAATCCATATTTCAGTTTCAAAGGGAGTATGTGTTCAATATACGAAAGTGTTTGTTCAACGTGCAGTAGATTGTAGTCAATGTTGAATTAAAGACTTCCAAATGATCTATTTTGTCTTTAGCGCACAAGATATCTTTTTGTTTCAGTTTTGCCACTGCATTTAGTTTTCTTTGAAAATATATTGAAATCAGAAAAATAATTGCTTTTTTGATTACGTATTGTTGAAAAAAAGTTTGTTTCTGCCTATTTAGAGTTTATCATCAGAGTCAAAGAGAGGAGTCTTGTAAGGGGATAAGGTTCCTAACCTGTCCTTAAAGGCAATGAGGGAATCAATATTCAAAGAGCAAAGAATGTGCTTTGTGTCCTCTCCTAAACTTTCCGTTACCATGTCTCTTCGCTTAATGCCTTAAAGAGCAGTTTGTAGGATTTAGGATCAAGTTGTAGTAAAATCCTGGCATGAATTGTTTGTGGTTCCTGGCTCTACCGAAGAACACATTGTCTTGAGTTTGTTTTCAAGGCAGTTGGATATCATATGGTTCAGGTGATATGAGCACAGAATGTAAAACTTAGGTTCATAAAAGGTGAGATGTTACTGTTTTTCTTACGTTTTGGCAGATACAATTATAGTTCATTTGAACATAGGGAACATGAGAAGGCTGTTCAACCCATTGAGCCTATTTCACCAGTTTATTAGATCTTGGCAGATTTTTTAACCCCCAATGTCCCTTTCATTGTACCCATTATCTTTACTACTCAAAGCATTTATCTATCTCCTTTGCATATCTCTATTGATTCTGCCTCTGGGGCAGAACACACCGTAACTACAACCCACTGTAAGAAGAAACATTTTTGATCTCAGTTCTAGCTATCTTTATTCTGATTTTAATAGACTTGTGACAGATTCCTCTACCAAAAGGGAAGTTTTGTCCACCACATAATCTGCCCATCGCTTTCCATTATTTTAAATGCATCAATCATATCACCCCTTTGTCTCTGCTCTATGAATATAATCCCAGTCTACCTAGCCTCTCGTCATACCTTAAGTTTGTAGGGTCATTTCTATTAGCAAGTAGCCAATGTAATGAGTTTAAGCCTCCTGCAAATAGATAGATGATTTGCTCGGCAGTGACCTTGCATTGCACAAGAAAACATGGTTTACCTTTGGTACATCAGAAATCTATGTTGATTGCCACATTTGACTAGAATCTGACTTATTTAATGATTGAATATATTACTAATCACATAACCATACGCTGCATTACTGTTCAGTAAATAATGATTGATTAACTTTGCATTGGTAAGCAATTATGTTTTCTGAGATTGCTGTTGTGCAGTGAATTAACACTTTGACTACTGAATTGGATTTCTTTGTAGTATTCCACCAAATAAATGGTCCGATACATTAAGTAAGATATTGCATGATAGGAATTGGAATGACAGAGAATATTGAGTCATTTACTTTAATATGTGGTCTATTTTTTTCTTTTCTTTTTGTAATGCTACTGTTCTTCTATGTGTTAACTGACTAGAGCGGGATAGATGTAAATAACATTAATTTTCTCACAGTATGTTTGCAAAGTTCAAATCCAATCCTTAGCCGTGTCTTCTCATACTTCTAAACTTAACATTAAAATCGAATTTATATCTAAAGTTATAATTTAACATAATACCCATGTTCTTTCATTGTTACTTTTTATAATGTCTCAAACCTTATGACAAAAAGGGACTTTATATAAAATTAGTTCAAGTAGTCGTGTTAAAGCTTGGCTCGAGTCCCAGAAAACGGTGTCTCTTCAAATGGTAAATAGCTTGCTGTTGTATGTGTTCATATTATATGTTGTATGCGATTAAACTTTTGTTTCATGTTAAGTGTTTTGTGTTCTTCAGTTATTGTTTCTCTACTTTTAAGCATTTTGTGCAATATGTTATTTTCTTGATAGCTCTTAAGTTCAGGTGATAGTTGAACCACTGTATAGTTTTTTTATTTCCAAGTAGTGGTATTGTACACTTTTGTCGCTAAGCAGGTCAAAATGTGATTCCTTTTTTTACACCAATGTTCCATTTAAATGAATGTAAATTATATATCATGCCAGAACTGTTTGCATCCTAACAAAAATAATGGGAATTAATTTGGAAGCGTCTTACCTTGTCTTGTGTTATTGTTAACTTAGCCCTTTTTGTGTGGACAGTTTCGAGTAATTTCTGAGTAAAAGTAAAAGATCCCAGCATGGAAATGCAAATGAGTTAATTCAGCTGTTCAGCACTCCCTATGTTTTTGTTGTGTGTGTGTGTGTGACTCATTATAGCAATAGCTGTGAACTCGCAGTTTTATTTTAAAGGTTTTTAATTCCGATCATTTGCTCACTTCAAAGGTTAAATAGTCTTAGTAGAATTGTGCCGTGATCAAGAGCATCTGTCTATACATTGAAGGAATGTTTTCATTGAATAAATATGTAAAGGTGTTTGCTTTGACTACTGCCTTTAACGTGATACTAAAGGATAATGGATTTTAATCTGCTCTGTTGAATATCTAACAATAAATGTTGTTTTTTTTAATCACTGCAATTGTGTTCACTGAAACCACACTGAATGATTGCTCCACAATTGTAATTGGCGCAGTGGTAGCACTCTCGCCTCTGAGTCAGAAAGTTGTGGGTTCAAATCCCACGTTGGGACTTGAACTCACACAATCTAAGATGACACTCCAATGAGGTGTTGCATTGTCGGAGGTGCTGTCTTTCGGATGAGATGTTAAACCGAGGTCCCGTCTGCCCATTCAGGTGGATGTTAAAGATCCAATGGCATGATTCGAAAAGAGAAGGGGAGTTTCTCCCAGTGTCCTGTCCAATAAATCCCACAAATAAAATAGGTCACCTTCTCCATTGGTTGTTTGTGGCACATTGCTGTGCACAACTGGCTGCTGCATTTTGCCCACAAAATACATTCAATCCACTTTACACCACATCCTGTGAAGTGCTTTTAGACGTCTCAACAACTTGATAAGGTGCTTTATCAAATGCAAGGATTATTATTATTATTCATGTTGATCCTCCAGGTTTTCAGGGAGAAAAAGATAGAAAAAGTATATCAAATGAAACGAGAGAAGGAAAAAACACTTAGGATCTAATTTGGAAAATTTCTTAATGGAATTTCTAATTATTGACATTGTGGTTTCTGAAAAAAGAGCTTTTCTTGAATATGATGTGTCAATTTGTGTTTAAAAATGGTATTGGTGGCGCTTCAACAAAGAATAACTTATAATGATAAAAAGGAGGAATACTGTATTAATACTCCAGAGCGATGCTCTCAAATATGTTTTATTTATATTCATAGTTGCTTTATTAATATTCATAGTAACTTTGTGTCCTGTGAAAGGAATACCATACCTCAGTACCTGGATTCTGCATTAACAAGTTTAAACTTGACTTTGCGATAGAATTTTTGCAATCTTCGTTTGACCTTACCACCTCACTGGTTTTAAAATGGTTATGATGTCGAGCAATCGGGAAGCTCGTGCAGTGAATGCTTGCATTACTAAGAGCGCACTTTAAACCTGACAGGTGCATTACTGAGAGTGCTTGTTCATCATTCTACATTATACAGTTTTACTGGAACACCTAATGTTAGATTCAAATATTAGACAAAATCTTTCATTTTTTGTGTTGCAGTCACTGATTTATTATCAATAGCTGAAAG